CTCTCCTTGCTTCTCATGTGGGCACTTATTGCTATATATTTTCCTCTAGAGACTGCTTTAAATGTGTCCCAGAGATTCTGGTATGTTGTGTCTTCATTCTCATAAAGAACATCTTTATTTCTGCCTTCATTTCATTGTTTATCCAGTCAACATTCAAGAGCAAGTTGTTCAGTTTCCATGAAGCTGTGCGGTTCTGAGTTAGTTTTTGAATTCTGAGTTCTAACTTGATTGCACTGTGGTCTGAGAGACTGTTTGTTACGATTTCCGTTCTTTTGCATTTGCTGAGGAGTGATTTACTCCCAATTATGTGGTCAATTTTAGAGTAGGTGTGAGGTGGTGCTGAGAAGAATGTATATTCTGTGGCTTTGGGGTGGAGAGTTCTGTAAATGTCTATTAGGTTTGCTTGGTCCAGGTCTGAGTTCAAGTCCTGGATATCCTTGTTAATTTTCTGTCTGGTTGATCTGTCTAATGTTGACAATGGGGTGTTAAAGTCTCCCACTATTATTGTGTGGGAGTCTATGTCTCTTTGTAAGTCATTAAGAACTTGCCTTATGTATCTGGGTGCTCCTGTATTGGGTGCATATATATTTAGTATCGTTAGCTCTTCTTGTTGCATTGATCCTTTTACCATTATGTAATGTCCCTCTTTGTCTCTTATGATCTTTGTTGCTTTAAAGTCTAATTTATCAGAGATGAGGATTGCAACTCCTGCTTTTCTTTACTCTCCATTTGCTTGGTAAATCTTCCTCCATCCCTTTATTTTGAGCCTTTGTGGATCCTTGCATGTGAGATGGGTTTCCTGGATACAGCACACCAATGGGTTTTGTCTTTTTATCCAATTTGCCAGTCTGTGTCTTTTGATTGGGGCATTTAGTCCATTTACATTTAGGGTTAATATTGTTATGTGTGAATTTGATACTGCCATTTTGGTGCTAGCTGGCTGTTTTTCCCTTTAGTTGAGCTGGTACTTGTTGTTCCTTTATATGTGTAGAGCCTCTTTCAGGAGCTCTTGTAGAGCTGGCCTGGTGGTGACGAAATCTCTGAGTACTTGCATGTTCCCAAAGGATTTTATTTTTCCTTCACTTATGAAGCTTAGTTTAGCTGGATAGGAGATTCTGGGTTGAAAGTTCTTTTCTTTAAGGATGTTGAATATTGGCCCCCATTCTCTTCTGGCTTGTAGGGTTTCTGCTGAGAGATCTGCTGTGAGTCTGATGGGCTTCCCTTTATGGGTAACCCGACCTTTCTCTCTGGCTGCCCTTAGTATTTTCTCCTTCATTTCGACCCTGGTGAATCTGACGATTATGTGCCTTGGGGTTGCTCTTCTTGACGAATATCTTTGTGGTGTTCTCTGTATTTCCTGGACTTGAATGTTTGCCTGCCTTGCTAGGTTGGGGAAGTTTTCCTGGATAATATCCTGAAGAGTATTTTCCAGCTTGGATTCATTCTCTTCGTCGCATTCGGGTACGCCTATCAAACTTAGATTAGGTCTTTTCACATAGTCCCACATTTCTTGGAGACTTTGTTCATTCCTTTTTACCCTTTTTTCTCCAGTCTTGCCTTCCCGTTTTATTTCATTGAGTTGATCTTCGACCTCTATATCCTTTCTTCTGCTTGGTCCATTCGGCTGTTGATACTTGTGCATGCTTCACGAAGTTCTCGTGTTGCGTTTTTCAGCTCCATCAATTCACTTATATTCCTTTCTATTTTGTCCATTCTTGTTAGCATTTCGTCAAATCTTTTTTCAAGGTTCTTAGTTTCTTTGCATTTGGTTAGAACATGTTCTTTAAGTTCACAGAAGTTTCTTACTACCCACCTTCTGAAGTCTGATTCTGTCATTTCATCACACTCGTTCTCCATCCAACCTTGTTCCCTTGCTGGTGAGGAGTTGTGATCCCTTTTAGGAGGAGAGGTGTTCTGGTTTCGGGTGTTTCCATCCTTTTTGCGCTGGTTTCTTCCCATCATTAAGGATTTATCCACCTGTCGACTTTGTAGTTGCTGGCTTTCAGATTGGGTCTCAGATCTTTCAGATTGACGTTCTGTTTGTTGATGATGAGGTTATTTCTGTTTCTTGGTTTTCCTTCTGACAGTCTGGCCCCCCTGCTGTAGGTCTGCTGAGGTTCACTCCAGGCCTGCTTGCCTGGGGTTCACCTGCAGCAGCTGCTGAACAGCAAGGGTTGTACCAGTTTTCTTCTTCTGCTATCTTTGTCCCAGAACGATACCCGCCTAGTGTCAATCTGATCTCTCTTTTATGAGGTGTCTTTTTGGATATATAGGGGTCAGGGAGCTGCTTGAGGAGACAGTCTCTTCTTTATAGGAGCTCAAATGGTGAGCTGCGAGCTGTGTTGTTGTTTATTCAGAGCTGCTAGGCAGGTACTTTTAGGTCTGCTGCAGCAGAACTCATAAACTGCTTTTTGTTCCCAGGTGCTCTGTCCCAGGGATTTAGGGCTTTATTTATGAGTTTCCGTTATGCTGCCGCCTTCTTTTTTTTTTTTTTTTCCTTCAGACCTGCCCAGCCCAGCAAGGAGGCAGCCTAGTCATTGTCGGCCTATAGCAGCTTTGCTGAGCTGCTGTGGGCTCCGCCCCGCTGCCGAGTGAACTTCCCTGCAGTCCTGTTTATATGGGTGTAGTTAGAACTGCTTTGGCGATGGTGGCCCGCCTCTGTTGGGGCGGAGTCTCTGCTGTGGTGGGTTGCCTTGGCAACGGCGGGCTGCCTCAGCAGTGGCGGGTTGCCTTGGCAACGGCGGGCTGCCTCGGTAATGGCGGACGCCCCTCCCCCACAGAGCTGGACCGTCCCGGGTTCAGCTGCGCTTGCTGTGAAATTCTCAATCCAGAGTTTCTGGTTGCCGTTCTTTTGTGGGGGTGGGACCAGCCGAGCCTGATCGCCTGGCTCCCTGCCTCAGAGCCTTTTTTCAGTTGGTGTTCCAGTCGCCTGTTGAAGAGGCGCCGGGGTCTGTTTGTTTTCCCCTGCGGCCACTCACTGCGCTGGCTTAAACAGCGGCACTGAGGTTTGTGGCGCTTTTTTTTCTTTTTTTTTGCCCTGGAATCTACTGTCCTGGTTCTCTGCTCAGTCCCCTTTTTGAACCAGCCTATGGGCGACCTCCGGTGGCTCCAATCGCCAGCCTAAAGGGCCCCCGGACCAGTGTATTTTGTACGGAGAACCGCGGCTCCGGGGCGCTGACAAAGCAGCCACGCGGGGCAAAGCAGCGGTGCCGGCTGGCAGAGCTGCGCTGGCCGAAACGGCCGCGCTGGCGACCATGGAGCACCTCTGCCCGGGAATTTCCTAGTCTGCGGGCAATAAAAACACGGCGTCCACTCACCCTCTGCGCTTTCACTGGGAGCTGCAATCCTGAGCTGTTCCTAAACGGCCATCTTGGATCGTCCCCCCCACGTCCAAGCGTTTAATAGCCATGTGTCTCACCCCACTGCTGTTGACTGTTTGCAATGATCCCATTTTGAGTGTCAATTTAATAGATGAAAAACTGCTGTCCATCAGATTTTTCTTAAAACTTTCCAAGATCTATGTGTCTCCCTAGAATATATTTTCTTTCTAGAGAATAAAACTGAGTAGCCACTATTCAGAAATGCTGTGTCATAAAGGGTATGCTATTCAATCATCTAGCCTTTTAAAAAACCAGAAATCCTAGAAGACGCATAGTCTGTACACAGAATTCTTTTCTTCAGCGGTTAAACCTCTATTAATAGATATGTTAATTCTGTGAAGTGCCTTTAATTCTGATAGTAAGTCAAGTCCTGATTAGCTGTCTATTCAAATATTGTTTGATTTACATTTCTGTAGACTTATGGACATGTGAACAGGAAATTAATTTTGGAAGTAGGTTCAGTTTGGTTTTAGGTTCAGCAAATGAGATCCCCACATCTTGGCTTGTAGTCTAACTGCCCCCCACTTTCAAGCATTTGTTGACTCAGCCAGTGGGTAAAATGTTAAAACTTTCAAACCAAGAAACCAAATGTATTGTTGAGATATTGATCATTTTTAATCAATTAACCCATTACAGGGGTTACTCCGAAAGCAGCCAGAATGACTCTAACTGTGTATCTATTAATTTAGCCTTGGTGAGGGCAGCTGGGTGACCATGAGGCGGAGGACAGCTCCCGGTCCTTTCCTCTCCCATTGCATCCAACTTCCCCACATTCTGTTCTGTCCAGGGGTGACAGATGCTGAGTTCTTCAGGGTTGCATTCCGAATTCAAGAGCAACACTGCATGTGTTAAGGCCGGGGCCCTACTATAAATCACATTATAAAATGAGTTTAGTCGAGCCAAAATGTCTCTCCTTGACTTTTCTGCCTTTCAAATTGTAAATGTTATTCTTCCCCAGTCTCTTCATAATATTAAGGTGAGCAGAAACTTGCATTATGTGTCCTTGACATAGCCTTGTGTGCTGGGGCAGAGGGAAGGGGATTCTTTTTGCCATGGAATGTATCTTGCTTATGTATTTATTTGGGATGAATCCTCCTTGTAGCCTTAGAGTTTTTCCTCCTCCGAGGTAATAGGGTGGGTCTCCATGGGTCCATTTGTTGCCATGGTGATGTGCCCCATCTTCCCGTTGGTGCTTCTCTACTTCAGTAAGTCCCTTCCTGTTATCGTCCTGGTAAACATGCATAGAGCTTCTTCAGAGCTAGTAAATGGTACCCATCATCCTGTCATCTGATCTTGATTGCGGGTTTTGTGAGTGAGCGTGGGGTCTGAGTTGTGCAGCTACCCTAAGGGAACTATGAAGAATAAGCCCCAGGTCAGCAGGAGGAGTGCAGAAAAGGCCTCTGCCTATCCCTCATCCCAAACTTGGGGTGCTGGGATGCCGACGAGACCCCAAGCAGCTATGCCTTGTTTGGACATTAGTGTAAGGACCTGACCAGGCAGCCTTTATTTGTTTCAAAACAGAATTTGGAGCCTCCTAGTAGCTCAGAGTGATATTTTTAAAGATAACCCACTTGACTAAAATTGCCCTGTGCTGGCTTTGTTGTGTTTCTCCTCCCCCAGGAGTACGATGGAGAAGTGTTTTTTGGAGCTACTTGAGTTTAATATTCATGTGTCTACCAGTGTTTATGCGAAATATTACTTTGACTTGCATGCCTTGGCATACGACCATGACCTGTATTTTATATTTAGTTTTCTTCACAAAGCTAAAGCACAGAAATTGAAGGTAAGGCTGTGAAGTCACCTAGTGGAGTTTCCCATCGGCCAGAAAAGCCAACATCTGTGACAAAATCATATTAAGTAGTGATTAGGAAAATGAAAGCTTTAAAATTAACAGACCAAAATGCTTATTCCTTTGGCATCATATTTCCTGTCTTTTATGCCTTATACAAGAATCCTTATTATTATTGTTATTATTGTTTTATGAGAAGGAGTTTTGCTCTTGTTCCCCAGGCTGGAGTGCAATGGCGCGATCTCAGCTCATTGCAACCTCCACATCCTGGGTCCAAGCGATTCCCCTACCTTTGCCTCCCGAGTAGCTGGGATTATGTGCATGCACCACCATGCCCGGATATTTTGTATTCTTATTAGAGACAGGATTTCTCCATGTTGGTCAGGCTGGTCTCGAACTCCTGACCTCAGGTGATCTGCCCGCCTTGGCCGCCCAAGGTGCTGGGATTACAGGGATGAGCCACTGCACCCAGCCAGGGATATATATTTTTAAAAACTTATTGATATTCTCACTGCTTTGACCATAATTCAGAATATTTTTAATTAAATTTAATCTGTTCTTAATGGGTTTTGTTTTTAGTCTCTACCCGTTCACATAACATTCGTGAATAAATGCAGATGTATTCCTAATTATATGTAAATAGACAATGCACTGACTGCTCTTGACTCTTTTACTTAAGCAGTTTGCAATTTTGTGTCCTTGTCTATTCTGTATATCTCAGTGCAGTCCCAGCAGTTTGTTAGACAAAGCAGTAGTGGCTGAGAGACCTGAGCTTAGACTGTATAAGATGCCAATGTTTCAAGTACTAGGTGTAGGAAGGGCATGGGTTTTTAATGAAAATGGCTTCAGGGGACAACATAAGATTTATGGCTTATGACTCTTGGTGAGTATACAGGAAAATTACAACTGAAATAGACACATTTAAAATTGGCACTGTCTCTGGTGTCTTGGTGGTACTTTGGAATAATACATTTATCTACCACAATGTGCAAGTAAAGTAGCACCTTTTGGTGCTTCAATCATTAGACTCCTTGGATGTTCCAAAACAGCCCAGCACGCATCTGCCTCATTAAAATCTGCTTGGAGTGTGTAGTAACTACTAAGGATTGCGCAGAATTTGAATCGCTGAGTAAGTTGATTGTTTGGCACAAGTGTATGTTGATTATGTTGAAGGAACAAGTGCACAGGTAACAGATAGTATTGTTACAAGCTTGTCACAATACTCTTAAAATCTTTAGGAGCCCTATTTTATTTTTTATGTGACAGTATCATCAAGCAATGAGCCCAATTTTTAAATTATAAAGTAAGTTCCTCTTGGCTGTGGCGATCTTTTCAAAGCTCTTAAAGGAGACTACCTTGGTGAATGGGCCGGGAGTTGCATCCTCAGCACCTGGCAGTGTAAACCTCAGCCAAAGCAGCTGCAAGGGAACCCTCTAAAGGAAGCTGTATGTGTGGCTTCTCATCAATGATGCCTTTTAAAAAATGCTGAAGCCGTTTTAAAAATTGTACCCATTTTCTCTTCGATTGACTTTCCTAGGCTATGTCACGGCCGTGTGAATACAAAGACTTGCATCAAGATGTCGCCGCTATGAGAATGGCCGTCAGCATGGATTTCATTGGCATTCGGCATACTAATGCCATCCTATCTTAAAAAGAGAAATTAGCATTATAAGATCCTGGACTTGTCAACTATAAAGACTACAAAATATCACTTCTCCTGCTGAAAAAGTCCAGCAAAATTAGGAGTTTCTTTTTTTATGTTTTTAAATTTTACTGTTGTTGTTGTTTCTGTTGTTGTTGTTGTTGATTAGGATTTTCATAGAGCAGAGGCTTCTTCAAATAACCACACTGTGAAGCTGGGTGACGGCGGCATGAACAGTGGTGCCAGGTGCTACCTGCCCTTCTTGTTCCTCTGAGTCCAGATGGCATTCCTAGGGCACCACCTTCTTGAACAACTCTTGGGGAGGAAGACTGTCACATGGACACAGCACATCCCAGTTCAGAGTCCACAGTCACCCACAGTCCCAAGCAGGTGACAGTCTGAGCTGAGCTGCAATTCAAAAAACTTTAGAATTGGCTCCAGATTTGTGAGAGTACCTGGGTTTGGATCTCTGTCCATGGAGGCACTGAATGCACGATGGCCTGAAACAACAAGTGTGGGAAGAGAGAATGGCATGGGGACAAGGCTGTCATCACTCCAAGTACCATGGGGGCTCAGGCCTGTTCATCTAGTCTTTGGAGGGAATCTGTGCATGTGAAATGAGGCTCCCACATCATGGTTATAAACAGAGAGATGAAATCAGCTCATATTCCCCCAGGCCCATAATGGTCATGCCAAAACACAGAGTCTTGCTGTGTTACCAGGCTGGAGCACAGTGGCAAGATCTCGGCTCTGCAACCTCTGCCTCCCGGGTTCAAGTGACTCTCTTGCCTCAGCCTCCCAAGTAGCTGGGACTACAGGCATGAACCACCAACCCAGCTAATTTATATATTCTTAGTAGAGACAGGGTTTCATCATGGTGGCCAGGATAGTCTTGATCTCTTGACCTCGTGATCTGCCTGCCTCAGCCTCCCAAAGTGCTGGGATTACAGGTGAGAGCCTTGTACTACCACAAGGACTTTGGTGGGGACGTGGTGGCCTCCGTAGCACCCACCACTGACCTGAATGGTGGGCACAAACATAAGGCGGTGGACATGGAGGGGCTGTGCACACTGGGCACAGTGATGATGGATGACCGTGGCTACCGGCTCATGGCCCAGTCCATTATCCCTGGCATCCCAGCGTGGGAGCAGGAGCAGAGCTTCATCGTTGGTATGTCTCCACTGAGGTCGGCAAGACAGTGGTGTCACAGCCATGTACCTGGAGCTGCTGGAGAGCTCAAGTTGGTGCTCAAGATACTGAGGCACTGGGTGCTCGATGACCACAGTGAGGAGGTGGAGCTCTGCGCCCTGGTGCATGCAAGGACATCATTGGCAAGGCAGGCACCACCGCACCCTCCACCTGCTCTGCGTCTCCTTCCAGCCATGGCTTCCTGCCTGTGCCAGTGCCCAGCTGCCATGCTGGCTTCCACCTTGGCCACTGGCACAAACTCTGCTCTCTGTGCCAGAAGCTGGTGAATGCCTTCGTGGACAAAGGGGAGGAGCAGCCCTGGGAGGCTGTGGCAGGGGCCGACATGGGCACCCTGGGTTGTTCTGGGACTGGGTCCTTGAAGAGACCAATTCTGGAACATGAAGAAGCCATACTCATTAGATCTCCCTTCCCAACGCCCATCCACCCTGTGATCAGACTCCCAAATGCAGAGATCAGAGGCTTTGCACTGACTGCAAACTAGAGAGCAGCCAAACCAGTGACCTGGTGGGGGCAGTGCTGATCTGTTAAGGAGTATGTGGAAATCTGCTGGGTGGCTGTGAATGTCACAATGCTGGGCTGGGCAGGTGGGGCACTGGGTGTTGGTGCTGCTGGTGTTTTGTGCTTAGGAGTTGGCCTCATCAAATATCCTAAAGCATGAAGAACTCTCTTTCTCAAAATGCCAGTGGCATTCCTGTTACTACAGAGAGCTCTGGCCTGAATGGAGAGCACCTTCCTTCCCCCCTCATTTATTGGCTGTCTTCCTGCCTTGGGAGATGTTGGTGTTTCCTGTGACCCGCTGCTGTTGGGTGTGTGCATGCACACATGGACACCTGCACTCCAGGCAGGATATGTTGCCATGCCTGCAGACTGTGCAGCCCCAACTTTCCTCAACCACAGCCAGCCAGGAAGCTGCCAGGCCAGCAAAGCTTTCGAATACCCCATCCTATCTCCTGCTCCACCGTGTCTGCGATGCTGCAGGTACCCTCTCTTTTATAAAGCCGGCTGTCCTTCAGCTGATGCAGCTGAAAATCAACAAGCTGGAGGTCCCTACCTCCCTGGAAAATAGCAGTCTGCTTTCCATGGAGCCTTAGCTTGAAGACCCTCTGGGGCCCAAGGCAGAAAATAAGCAGAAGGGCAGCATGCTGGCATTTTGTTCAAGGGGAAGGAGCTGCCTGAGACCATTGCAATAGAGGACAGCCCAGTGGGGATTGCCATGGATGCCAGGGGAGAGCATCTGGTCCCGGCATCTGGTCCTTGACAGGCATAGCTCATGACCCAGCCTCCGACAGAGGCAGGCGGACATCTCCACAAGGAACTGTCAGGCAAGGCTCAGGCATCCTACCCCACCAATGGTAGTGGGAGGTCATTAGGTCCTGTCTCCACAGTAGATCCTCAGCACCAGGAGATGATCCTCGATATGTGCAAGGGAGTCAGCTTTATCAGCAGCATGGCCTTCCACATTCCCTCAACCAGACATCTCACCAGGCAAGGTGGGGGCTGGTCAGCACAGGAGCCCTGCAGGACAGGACAGAGCCTGTTGGGGGTGAGAAGGGAACTGGGGCCCTCCATGCTGGTGGGCCTGTCCAGCTATCTGAGCCCTGCTCCTTGCAGCCCCGGGTGGCTTCTGTCTTGCCACCCACATCTCCCTTCTGCTTGGCCCAAGCTTCTCTGTGCCTCCTCCAGGGGTTCACTTCCCCAAGTCCAAATGGAGTTCAGAACCAGGAGCAGCTGATGAAAGATGTGGCTGGCTTCTTGCTCTCCTGCCAGATCCCTGCTTGGAGAGAGAGGGGCCGCAGGGGTAAGTGGGGGTTTTGAGGCTTTATCACCCTAGTTGAAAGGCTTTTCCCTCTAGCCAGTGTAAGATCAGCTTGGTTTCTTGAGCTGTTGTTGGTGGGGACCAAGGGTGGCCTAGGGAATGAGTAGGGTCCACAGCTCCTGGCTGCTCTTCTGGAGAGATGTGGTTTCTGGAACTTTGCTAGAGCGACACAAAAAGACCTCCATAGTCAGTGAAAGGTCAGTTCTTGGAGTCGGCTTGTGGTTTTTAATCTGCCATCTCCCCCAGCAGTGGATTGGGCTGGGTGCTTCCTGCTCTAAGAGGTGGAGTCGGGCTCTGCAAAGCACCAGGGAGGCCTCTAGCCCACAGGCTCAGCTGCTCCTGACTTCTCCAGCTTCTGGGACACATCCCTCTCTCTCTTTCTCTCCCTCTCCACCTCCCCATTCTCCACCCCCACCCCTGGCTCTGCCCTGTGGCTGCCAGGATTGCAGGGTGAACTCAAGGACAGTCCTGGGTGCACCCTGTCACCTTCGCAGCTCACACTGCACAGGCTCATTATCCCTATGGCCATTTTCATTATGGGGACCCCTGGATGATCCAAGAACGCCATGCCAGGAACACAGGCAGCTCAAGTCCTGGCTCAAGGGACACCCCAAGAACCCCTGTCCCACCTCACACTTGTCCCAGCAGCTTCACCAGTGTGCGCCAGCGCCGCCAGACCAAGGTGATTCTCTCCTGAGGGGCGCACAGCAAGGACCAGGAGAATGGAGGGTGGAGGACCGAGGGCGGAGCCCGCCTCAGTAGCGACACTGAGGGCGACCCAGAGAACGCAGAAGACAACGAGGAGATTTACCTGGAGAGAATTCATCTCAAGACCAACAAGCACGATGGCAACAAGAGCAAGGAGGACAGGGCTAAGGCGCCACAGGTGTGTGTGTGTGTGTGTGTGTGTGTGTGTGTGTGTGTGTGTGTGTAAACAGATTCTGGCTCTATCCCCCAGAATGCAGTGGTATGATCTCGGCTCGGCTCAGTAACCTCTGCCTCCCAGGTTCAAGCGATTTTCATGCCTCAGCCTCCTGAGTAGCTGGGATTACAGCTGCCCGCCACCATGCCCAGCTAATTTTTTTGTATTTTTAGTAGAGACAGGGGGTTACCATGTTGGCCAGGCTGGTCTTGAACTCCTGATCTCAGGTAATCCACCTGCCTCAGCCTCCCAAAGTGCTGGGATTACAGGCATGAGCCACCATACCCAGCCCTCATTCACTTTTAGGAGGAGATTTAAGGAATTTTAGGAGGGGATATTCGGAGGGGATTTAAGGGAGGGTTAGAAAACTATGATACCATCATGATTTTGCCCCTACTGGACATTCTGCCTTGCATTTTTTCCCCAGACCGTTCCTCCAAATTTAGCCTTGAGTTAGAGTTCTTGACTCTAAGGCTCAAAACCTGCCCCTGGGTTTGGTCTTCCAGGTGCATGTTCCTATTGGCCTTTCTAGTGCCTGATGGTGGCCTTCTCCAAGTAGATTGGCTTGATTTTCCCCTCCTTCTGGGAACCTCACTTACCCCTGGAACCCAGCTATCACAATGACCATATCACCTTAGTGCAGTATACTTTCAGCCTTCCTCCAGCCACCCTCAAGCCAGTAGAAGAGAATGTAACCCTTAGGGATCACTTTTGTCTACAGTCCTTGTTTTATAGATGGGGAAACTTAGGCTTAATTGGTGAAAATATCTAGTGCCCCACAGTTTTTTCATAGCAACCTAAATATGATAACTTACAGGTTTATGTAATAGACACCAGGAGCCCCTGGCAGAGAACAGTCCTGCACTCTTTCCCACTGAGCCTCAACAGAGCTGCAGGATCCTCATGAACACGGCGTGCATGGCAGTCACTTCTAGCAGTTTCTAACCCCAGTCCAGAGCTCTTTCTAAAACACACTCTATTTCTGCTCCTTATCATGGCAACAAATATATTTACCTTTTTATCTAAGTACACCGCAATGCTGACTTGAGTTTTGTTTGTGGTTCACTATGATCCCTGGATCCTTTTCTCTTGTCACAAATAGAAGGAAAGTCCCAACTGTATTTTACGATTTTTCCTTTGTCCTTCTCCTCCTCCTCCTCCTCTTTTCTGAGCATTTCTTCCACAATCATTTGTGTATGTATGTATGTATGTAATGTTTTTGAGATGGAGTCTCGCTCTGTTGCTCAGGCCAGAGTGCAGTGGTGCTGTCCTGGCTCACTGCAGCCTCTGTCTCCCGTGTTCCAGCAATTCTCCTGCCTCAGCCTCCCGGGTAGCTGGGATTATAGGCACGTGCCACCACACCCAGCTAATTTTTGTATTTTTAATAGAGACGGGGGTTCACCATTTTGGCAAGGCGGGTCTCAAACACTTGACCTCAGGTGATCTGCCCACCTTGGCCTCCCAAAGTGCTAGGATTACAGGCATGAGCCACTGTGCCCAGCCCACAATATTTTTTTTTAATAAAGTGAAGGATTTGGTGGAGGAAAAGGAATTTAAAATTATAAATGAGTACAAAATTGTCCCTGTGATCTGTGAAAGATCAGCGCGGTATTTTCCAGGTGTTTCATGACATCTTTTATCAGTATCTTCAGCGTTATTTCAATGGCTTTGACTGCCTTTGCCACCCGCTTGTTTGGTCGTAGTATGTATTAACTTGCACATCTCTATGCTTTAGCACCTCTTGTACTGGTGCTCCAGTGAAGGGAGGTTTTAGTCTTTTATTAATGCCTCATTCATTT